TGACCGGCTTTTCTGGTCAGCAGCTGCTGCCCCACATTCTCCTTTAACCCGGTTGTGACCGAGGAGAAATCTGGGCTGCGGCTGACAGAGCACACCCTGCTGCGCCTACCTCGCAGACAGTGTGCTCAAAAAACAGTGCCGGGGGACCCCCCCCCCCCCCCCCGCGCCCATAGACGGATGGGGAGAGCCCCCTCGGCCCCTGTATGGGCTTACTACGCACCTGCCTCCCTGAATCCCTAAGGATAACAGGGAGAGCGCCAGCGCCCATGCCTCACACTCAGGCACTGACCCCGTGCAGAGTATGAGAGGACTAACGTAACGGGCCAGCGCGCCCCTTGCCTATCCCGGGACCCTCAGAGGGCCCAGGAAAGGCGAAATCCTGTGTTGCCCCAGCAAGCACAGACGAGGAGAAAGAGCCAGATATGTCCAAGAGATAAAACCTTATAAAGGGGCCTGGCGTCGACCAAGACGCTGCTGTGCATATATCCTCCACACTCACACCGTTGAATAAGGCTGTTGACACAGCTACAGCCCGTGTGGAGTGAGCACGAATCCCCGTGGGGCAGGCTCTCCCTGCCTGTCCGTAGGCATGTGCAATGCACTCGCAGAGCCAGCCTGCCAGGCGTTTCTTGGACAGAGCTTTCCCGATCACCCCGCCCCCGAAGCACACAAACAGCTGTTCGGTGCGTCTAAGGGCAGCCGTGTGCTCCACATAACATGCTAGCGCACGCACCGGGCAGAGGAGGTGCAGTTTAGCCTCCCTGGCCCCACCATGGGGGGGAGACTAAAACCCCCTAACTGAATAGCCCTCGACCTGAACGCACTCCTTAGGTCTTTAGGCACAAAGGAGGGGTTCGGTCTAAGTGTTGCGCCGCTCTGGTCACCCCAAATTAGTAAACAACTCGGGTGCACCGACAGAGCAGTTAACTCGGACACTCTTTTGGCTGACGTTAAGGCAAGAAGCAAAGCTGTTTTCCACGACAATGCTTTCAGAGGGGAGAGCTCCAGAGGCTCAAATGGTCCCGAGGCCAGAGCCTCGAGCACTAGGGGCAGGTCCCACTGCGGGGTGGAGACGTGCACTACTGGGCGCAGCCTCCTGACCCCCTGTAAAAACCGCGACATCAGTGGTTGACTAAAGGCTGACCTGCCACCAAATCCCTCATGACAGGACGAGATGGCTGCTGCATACACTTTCACTGTGGAATGCGCCAGCCCTCTGTCCACCAGTAACTGTAAGAAGGATAAAATAGAGTCCAACTCACAAGATAGGGGCTCTATTCCCCGCTCCTCACACCAATGCTGGAATCTCAACCACTTTGGCCTGTAACAGGCTGTGGTGGATTCTGCTCTAGCTGCCTGGATAGACTGAATAACGCTGTCAGACAATCCACCCTGTCTCAGCCTGTCCCTCTCAGGAGCCAAGCCTGAAGAGGACGGCCCAGAGTGGGTTACGCCCCAATTGCACCTGCCCCTTGAGACATCGCCCCCCAGAACTGGGGGATCGCCCAGGGCTGCCCACCTTCATCTGTGTCATTTCTGAGTACCATGGAGCTCCGACGCGATCCGGTGCCACCAGAATGACTGCCAGACGTTCTCGCCTCACTCTCCTCATTTCTGCTCCAGAGGCTATACAACAACATCTGAAAGGTCAAAAAAACAAACAGGGCTAGACAGCTTCTTTTTGCAGGTTGTGGTACATTTACACAGCAGATAAACAGACACCCTCTTCATTGTTGTGCACTGTCCCTGTTAAATAAATGAATAAATAAATAAAAACACCATTGCCACCAGTCATTCCAGTGCCAGTGGTCACTCCAGGGTCGGCGGCCACACCTGATGAACCCACCAGGGCAGTTTCCTCCAGGGTGAGATGTGATCATGGACTGGAAAACACAGGTGTTGCCCGTTTCATGCTTTACAGGAGAGGATTAAACAGACATAGTGTAATTACTGGCAGGTCAGTGCACAACCAAAGAATTGAGAGATTATGGGCATAGGTAAATCGAGTAGTCTCATTTCATTTTGTTAATCTTTTCAACTTTATGGAGGAGCACGGTGTATTAGATTCACTTAAAGGTGGGGTAGGTAAGTTTGAGAAACCGGCTCGAGATACACTTTTTGTTATATTCCATGGAATGCTCTTAACATCCCGATAGCAATGAATATCTTAAGTGCTTTAACAAAAAATCCATAAAAAATGTTCATCTGTGGAAGCCGTAGTACTGTAAAAAGCACGACCAATTATTTTAGCCGGCCCGCTAAAATAACTGGATGGCCTACCTGCCTGTCAGCCTTCCATCGGGGCACAAACTTATCTCGTGCCCTCATTGGTCATGTGCGCGTTCATGTGTGTTGGAGGAGGGGCTCTATAAGGAAGTGGCAGATTTTCTCCGGTTGTGTATTTTCAAATTCTAGCGATCTCGAGCTGGTTTCTCAAACTTACCTACCCCGCCTTTAATGAGCTCCATATATTTTGTCTTCACTATATTTATTTGCCATGGGTTCAAAGGGTTGCCACTGAGTTTCAGAACCAGTGGAATAACCATGGTCTTTCAACACAACGGGGGCAAACTCCTCTTCAGCTGTGGCAAAGAGGCATAGTCAACAATGCAGGAACGCATAACCCAAGTATGAATGGTATTTATGATATAGACAGTGGCTTTGGTGTTGATGACAACAGACCACTCCCAGAGTTACAGACTAACAATGTCGTTGTTGTTCCATCTATTAACCTTACCATCAGTGACCCAACAATGGATACACTTCAGCAGACTTTTGATCCATTTGAAGATGATGGGAATCATGGTATATATTTGTTTTGCAACCTTGTGTATTTTCTTGAAGAGAGGCATACCTAAAATCATAGAACCAAATGGTGTACCAAAAAGAAACAAAACCTCTCTCAACAGATAGGCCTATTTAAGAGCATATTCACATCAATAGAAAAGGTCCACACAGGATATTAACTGCCTTTAGTAGTGTAAAGCAAAGCAAAACGAAAAACACACTGACAATCTTTTTCACAGACACTTAAACATATTGTCAGTTTTATCATACACTGCTTAAAAAGAAAAAGCGTTTATTTCAGTGGAACAATGGGAAAAAAAGTTTGGCTTTTGTCCTCTTCTGTTCTATGGTGTGCTGATTTTGTGTTGCTTCTTATGCTCCTACTGACTTCTCACACATTCCACTGATGCTGTATCATTGTATTTGACAAAGGGCATCAAATGTTAAAATAATTAATACTTCAGTCAATTTATTAAGTTCTCCAGAGCCAAAAGCTTTAATAAAATGTGGTTTCAATTGACACGTTCAATTGGTAACAATTTCTTTGAACATTTAAAGTAAAACACATGGTTGGAAATGTTAAACATGGAGGTTTGAGCTCACTAATGCACGTAAAGGTCTTAACATCCTATACACAGCAAGGATCCATTAATTGGAAGAAAACTGCATCCATGAACTTAAACAGTAACCTAACAATTGTACATCTTAATAAAACCTTTATTTTTATTTTTTAAACACTTTGATTGCAAAATGACTGGCAACCTAATCCTGGCTAAAAATACAGAGCCAAGTTCCAAAGCCAATTGAAGTTTACTCAATAATAAAGTTGAATTTGCCTTTATTGAACTTTCTCAAAATCTGAACTGTACTTTAAAAGATGTTAGAACCTTAATGTTTTAACAAATGGATATTCTCCCAGCAAAACACTGTGGAATGATATCCACAATAAAAACGTGTCAATAACTGTTTGGGATTTTTTGAACTAAAATGTATTTATTTGAGTGTGAACTTGACCTTTAAACAGAATACTGAGATGGAGGCCTGCCCATGAATTAAGCTATGCCGAAACCCTGGGTATTGCCCAGTGCAAAGTCCATATTTTCCTGGAAGTCTATGTAAGAGCTGTGCAGTGGCAACTTCAAACAGTTGATGCAGGTGTTTGCAATGGGAAGTTTAGAAGTGGTTCCTGAGTCATCATTTTGGTGAAGAAATTCAATTGAAGGTGGTGGATCAAAGCCAATTGGTGGAACAGTATTGGCTCCAGTGGCAAAGGCGAGAATTGTCCTCAGCTTCTGTGTTCCCTCTTGATCTAGAGAAAAGTCAATACATCGGAAATGAGAAAGAACACAAACAAACAAACAAACAAAACACTGCACTTAACTGATACAATGTCAAGATGCAGTGCATTGTTAATTACAAGCGAGGAGATATTTCAGTTCATACAAGAAACGCTTTAAACAATTATACATTAACCTTCTGCATCTGTTAGGAATGGAAAGGAACAACAACTTCTTCAGCACTCCTTCTATTGCTGCCAACTGTAGATAGGCGGATGGTGAAGAGGCTGTCAAGCAGGTCAGCTGTGAGGGTTGTAGGAGACCAGCATAGAAGGGGGCGAAAAACTCTCCGGGTGAGCTTGGATTTTGTCCAGCACACCAAGTGTTCTCAGTCCATCCCGAAATCTGAGTAAAAATCACACTTACTTTTTAAAGTGTTTTGATTGGCGACTTAAGTTTGAACTAAAGAAGCTTTTACATCTTCACATGTAGTCCTTTTTAAACGTCATGGCAAGGAAAAATGACTTGCTTAGATGCTGTTCAAACAGGAGAAAAATACATGTGTGTATGTACGCGTGCGGGGAGGGTTTACAGTATTTTTGCTCTAACACACAACCCAAGCCCACAACTACTTCGTACAACAACTTTTAAATGGCTAGAAGCGCTCGCACCACAACCACCTGGCATTTAGTTTTAGCCTATGTGACACGATGACGTAACATAATACTGTCATGTGGCTTATATATGCTGCAGTTTAGTCGGGGAAATTACTGCATACACTTCAACAGAAATGGCCGACAGAAAACCCTGAACACAATGCAATCTTCATGGGTTTCAATTCCTTATTGGAGAGGCAAAAGACTGAGGATAAAATGTACCTCTCAAAAGGACCACGCACTCTGTGTATCACTTGGAACATCAGGATGTCATCTACAAGCAGATTCTTGTCTTCCAACCTCCGCAGCGGCCTCAGGCAGCCAGCATTGGCCAAATACTCCTCAAGTGGTTATGTTGTTGCTAGCAGATCTTCCAATGATTTACCCTCCGTGACCTTCCAATACATACAAAAAACAACATTTGAAAGCGCCAAAAATTCAACATATTCCCCTCTGCACTAGCCAGTAGTGTAGAAACAGACGCACTTACAGCACAACATAGTCTAAAACTGAGAAAAATAAATTACCCTCTTAATCTTTTCGTGCAGGTCAATATCCGCAACATCTTCCAACACTGGCTTAGCCAATTCTGGGCCATCAACAAGGCAAGAGAAGAGAGTTGGGGACAGAAAGCCTGCGGGAGAACCGCCATGTACAATGCTTACTGCAATGGCCCTGCCTGCAATAAAGTACCGGTCCTCTCTCATGGCTAGAAGAAATACAAATTATTATATATTTGACAGTGCATGCGTATAAAGACTTAAAAAATGCCTGTAAGATCATATAAAACATAGTGATATACATGTAATAAATGGTTATCTGGAGTTTATCATATGAGATTACAATCAATACATACCAGTACTGTCAAAGGCCAAGTTCAGTTTGCCTTCTTCTCCCTCAAACATCGAAGATTTGGGCAAAGCTTCCAATAGAAGTCTTAGAAACTCTCTTCTTGGTCCACCTAAGTCCACAGCCTCTTCAGGTATTCCCATATCATCAGAAAACCTGACAGAAATCGTGTGACATGGATCGTATGTCCCTCGTTTAAAACCCCTGATGGCTCCATCCAGGACTGTGGATCGGTTGATGTTGAACTTGCATTTCTTCTGATGATTTATTTTTGTTGCAAGATCTTGCAAAATATCTCTCACTGGCACCAAACATCCCGTAGCCATCCTGGAACTAGCAAGATAAATTAAAGTTAGGGCACACACACTAGTTTTGAGCAAGTGGCATTATGTGTGTGTGTGTGTGTTGTTCATGATCATTGACCATTTTGAACTTCAGTACATAATTGTCACGTACAAAGTATACTAGTATAGTAGAAAGTCAATAGGTGGTGATATGTAGCATAAGCTTGCAAACTAAACTGCGTTCCTGAGAATGCTCAGTGGCATCTGCCATTCAAGTTACCTCTCTCTTGAGAGTAACAATCTTATTGCTGTTATTAGTCTTGAGGAGCCATTTCTAAACCAACTAAAGTAGTCGCTCTCACCAGGGATGAAGGAATGTGCCACTCAGTGGAGCGGTGTGACTTACTGTGTTTTTAATAGTTTTTGGACAACAATAGAGCTCTAACGCACAAGGGATTCAAATATCCGCACATAAATTAAGTCATAAATGATGTCATAAATCTTGATGTAATTTATCATTATTTAATACCACATGGTTAAAAAAAAAGTCGCCTTTAGTTTGATGGTGGTGACGTGAGCTTTGGCAACCATGGTGTAGTTCGTTTGTAGCTTGACAATAGCTTTTTACTTCTGCCGATTGCATTAAGCTTCAAAAATCATAAAAGTTGTGTTCATTTCTGAAGATTATCTTGCTGAACAAAACGTGCCAGCAATAACAACAAAAATGCATCTTTGCAATTGGCCATTGTAAAACATTTGCATTTTGTACTAACCTTTCACTCTGCAGGCTTGCTAGTATAGCCTGGTTCAATTCCTCATCAGAAGACTTGTCAGACAATGCAGACATTATTGTAAGGTAGCTATCATAGTTTGCTGATTGGTGGTGTGTTGAGGTAGAGGGTAACACAGAACAATGGCTTGCTGGAGTGCTGCCCGGAGCTGGATCAACAGAAGTTGTTCCTCCAAATGATAATGTAGAAGGCTGACTGCTGGAAGGGTAGCTTTCCAGTGAGCATACTGGCAGTTGACTAGAAGAACTGCTCGCTGATGTGCTGCTGTGGTAGGGTGAGATACTGCTTTGGTAGGTCAAGGCAGGAGTTTGATTGAATGACGCTCCACACCCAAGTGATGAGGCAAAAGGTTGAACTGTAGAAGTACAGTTTGGTGGGGAGGCAGTCATTGGACTGTTGAAACTGTCTGAAGATGCATTTTATTGTCGATCTCATGGTCGAAATGAGGAGCGCAGCTGCCTTGCTGAACCGGTGTTTTCCGCACAATTGTTGTCCTCACTGCTATAGCCTGTAACCTCATCATTTTCAGATATGCTACATTTCAACTGTACACTGAAGAGTACCTGGAAACACTCGGATTAACGATTATATTGCTAACAATTACTTTTACTGTCCATGCTTTAAAAGTGACATATCCCGACGAGTACCAGTATCCCCTTCTATTATTAGCTCTGTTAGTCCAACTAGGCAGCTGCCAATTAAGTCAATTTCTGTGCTTGGATATAACATTTAAAACAGGCATTCCAACTCTGCACTAGTCTATACTGTATAAGTACAAAATAAATAAACACATAGCTAGTAAACATTTTCATGACTACAAAGCTGAAATTAAAGTTCAAGAAGAACATACATCTCAAATGTCAGAGGTAACTGACAACATTTAATCTTCATGCATGTTTATACACCGATTATGGGTTATTATTTTTACAATGCTCTGCAGGTTAATTCAAATGTGATATCACATACCAAAATTGACTTTGATGGTCTGATGTATAGGGCTTTTGATTTATACACTTTATGTATGAGATTTGCATCCATTTCCTGTCCAGCACGCAGTTTTGGCTTGATCAATCTGTTGCCACATGCCATCAGAAGCTCTAGGCTGAAAAGCAGTGGGTAAAATGACAAAAGGTTAAAAAATGCACAAGACACATTGAAACGGATCCTCTGACAGTCTGTTTTCCATTTCCTCTTTGATGATGGCAGTCAGAAAAATAAATGAGAACGAACGTAAGCGATGCCACAAAATCAAATGTACTAGTATGAATAACTGGCTTAATAGGTTAGGTTTGGTCCTTTTTTAATTTGGACTGGATGATAACATTAAAGTGCTTACCTCACATCATCTGAGAGTTTTTCTCCAAAGGCATCCCTCATTTGTTCAGTGACAGTCCTGTTGTCACGATCTGTCTGTGTTGTATTTTGTCTTGTCTTTTTCTGTCTTTGGTTTCCTGTTTTGTTTTGAAAAGTGTTCATCCCGTCTTGCCTGTTGCTTCCTGTCTCTGTGTTCCCTCCTGCCTGATTGCCCGATTGTGTTCACCTGGTGCCCCTGTGTTTTCTCCTCCCTCCTCACCTGTGTCTTGTCTGTGTGATTGGTCTTGTGTGTATTTTAGTTCTGGTTTTTCTGTCTGTCATTGTTGGTTCATTGTTTGTATTTGACTGTGTGTCACATGGTAGTGTTCTGTGTTCTACTTTGTACCGGATTAAAGGAATTATTCTTGGAAATCTGCATTTGGGTCCTGCCTGCTGCACTCAACCGTGACACCTGTGGTCCCAGGATTTCTGGAATTGAAATCCATTCAATATATGTCCTTGTTCATGCAACTGTTGCTTTGTCCGATGCTTTATGACAGCAGCGCTGGATGGTCCCGGAAGAAGGATGATGTCTTTGTTGAAAGTCTCATGATAAACTGTTTTGGCCCTACAAAACAAAGCAGATATTATATTTTATATTCATTAAAAGATCATAATAATAATAATAATACATTACATTTATAAAGCGCTTTTCCTGGTGCTCAAAGCAATATATCATATATCATAAATAAAGCGTTGTCTTTCTACTGAAAGACAACACTAGACGAAGCTGGAACTCTGGAAGTAATACATTAATTATCTTCTTAACTTACAATACAGAAGTGTGTCAGCCATGTGTCCTCACCTGCTCTGTAATGCTTTAGATATTGACCCATACACAACATAGACTTTGATTAACCTCTTCTAGCAAGATTAAGTTCATCAATATGTATGCCTGACTAGCTGTCGGCTAGCAAGGGAAATTATTTCACATTCCCCACCTTAACCTCTTAAGCACGGCGATCGGACCCCTCCCACTTTTTTTTTTTGAGACAATGTCTCAGGGCTTCTTAACATTTATGAAACTATTAATGTGTAGCACCAGATTAACGGGAGGAATCTCAGCTAACTGAAGATATTAACCATTTTTAGCTAAAAGAAACACAAGAGTAATACCAAGCCTTTGAATTAGCATTTTGCGAAAAAATGCTAACTAATGCTAACGGACTTTTGCACAGCACTCACTCTCAAAATGCCCTTATTACTTTTCGTAACTGCACAAACAAGATATCCGATTAAAGCTGAGACTCCACAGATTCCATACATGTAGTGTCATCACTGTACGACCCAGAATTTGCGGAGCTTTCAGCCAGAAAAGAGAAAGTAAACAACATCCGGTTTCAAAAATATTACAATAATTACATCTTACCTTTTTTGATTTGTGATCAAAAGTTATGTTCAACGGAATAAAAACGCCGCTCAAGGTTAATCCAATGTCTCTGTGTCACGTAGAATTTTTTACTGATAATCCATCATCATATTTATGGCAATAAACTGGGTATAAAGTTTTGCAGTCAAGGCTTGTACTTTCAGATATGCTTCGTTTGCTTCTCTATTACGTCCGCAATGGTAATGTTTACGTGGATTTGGGAACTGCCCATCGGATTCTATTGGATCTAATGGTTAAGAAAAAGGTGTAAATCACTCAAATCGACCAATGGGTTCCATAGATATGGTCCTGCGTAAAGTATAAATGGTGAATGCCAGCGGCACACCCATTACGCAGCAGACTCTACGCCGTGTTTACTACGTAAACAACAGGAATTGCAGCAGCAGCACCCAGAGCGCACAGAGCGGACAGCAGATAACGGAGCAGATTACAAGATTGGCGTCTAGGACTTTTTCTATACTTTGACTTTTGTCAAATAATGGCTTGCAGGAGAGATGCTTACTACTTTACAGGCAATGGAAATGGTGACTAATGTTGACAGCGATGCAGATATGTTACCCGTTGATTCTGAGTCAGACGACGAGGATCTCCTGCAGCCAGAACGGAACCCGGAGCGTTGTGACTGATGATGAAATTCCACCACGGGAAAGGTATGTAATCTCTCTGTTTTTATCTATTACTTATTTATTTGGTGTACGATTATTCATATAGTAAATAAAAGCATCTGCTAAATGTAATGTAATGTACGCTCAAAATGGCCAGTGTTCATCTAGAGTCACTAAATGTATTGCATTCACACACTCAAAATGGCATGTTTGGCAGGAGTTAGAGGGATTATTTACAAAAATACCAAATAGTGTTTCTTGTCTGTTACATTTACTAAAAGTATAGGCCAGTGTTCATCTATAGTCACTAAATGTATTGCATTCACACACTCAAAATGGCATGTTTACTGCCAAGGAAACAGGAATTAATCTAATCTCTTTGTTTTTCCACATTTGTTTTCATAGTGATGGAGATGAGGATGAAATGGCTTCACCATTGCCTACTTTCACCCAGCCCACACCTGCCTCACCCTCACATTCCTCAACTTCTAGAAAGAGATCTGCAACATCTGGCAAAAAGAAGGTGAAGACAGCTGTGTACTGCAGGAAGTGTGAGGTCCCTCTGTGCTTCACTTCCAAAAAGTATTGTTACGAGGAGTGGCATGCCTAAATTGTAACATTGTAAAGATTTAAATAAATCTGCTCCAGTTGGAGTCAAACTTCATTTTGTATGTTTTTAAAAAAATTTTTTTACAACAGTTGTATTTGGATGGAATGAATACCAATAGTGATAATTCAAAGTAATAAAATGATTTTTACAGTGAAAAAGGTCAAATGGAACTG